CCCCCCCCCCCCCCGCCTCCTGATCAGTTGAGGGAGGTAGCCGGTGAGGAGGAGGCAAGAGAAGGAATTCATCTTCTGTACCCCTTGTAGCACAGGGGCGGAGGGCTGACGGTCCTCTGGCCTTTTGTCTTCCTGTGGTCTTGTAGTCCCTGTGGGCTTGGGGGGATCTTGGATGAGCCCCCAAATGTTATGCCCAAATTGGAGTTCCCCAAAGACTACCAAGGAGTCTGAATCCGTATGTAAAAGCAAAGAGCCTTTATTCATTTAAGCCCAGACTTGGACCCAATGTGTGCCGATGCTTTTTATCATAGTAGAGGCTGGGGGTGAGAGGGTTTTCAAGATTCAAGACCCTGACTGGCGAACATTCGTCTAGGGGTGTTTTGGTGGAAGGGAATAGGTATGTGCTGGGTTTGAGGACATCTGATGATCTTATTTAATCTTATCTAATGGGTGAGATATTCAGGTACTTCCCTTAGATGCTGGTTCATTCCTGGGTGGTATCAGCTTATGGTTTATCCTGGAATTGGGTGCAACCTGCCAGTAAATGGAAACGCAGACCTACTCTCTTGGCTGGTCTCTATCAAGCCTGTCATGGCAGCTATGCGACCTGGGCCCCATATATGTGGCCAGGCTGCCCTGAGCCCCACAGGAGTGGGTCCCAAGTAAAGAGAGGTAATAGCCATGGCTGTACCAGGAATACAAAAATGACCTCAGAGCCGGCTAACAAATGCCGTGGTATGGCAGGCAGCAACGAAGACTGAAAATTAACTGTAGCAACAACTACAGGGATCAGGCTGGTTCAGTACATACCCAGCCTCCCCCAATAAGACACATTTCTATGTGCCCTCTCCTCAGACCTTCCTTATCTGGATGCCACCCATCTTCACCCAGCTTCTCCTCTCTGGAGTCTTCTGGCCTCCCTCAGAGGATAGTGTGAGTGAACCTAGTCTATCTTCTGGCCTCCCATGCTTCCCATCCCTCCGTTCAGAAGACACTGAAGGCAGTGGCGGTGGTAATAACTGTACTTACTACCCGACTGCTGCTTACACCCCAGGCACCGTGCTCACGCCACAACAGCCCGGGGAGGCACTCGCCTCCTCAACAGGACTGAACTCAGAGAAGCAGCTAGGTAAGACCACACAGCTCTAGGTAGCAGAGCTGGCATCTCAACAAAGATCATTGTCCAGGTACCCTGGCACTTCACCCTGACTGGCTTATAGGCCAAGGAAGCAAGTAGATCAGCCCCCTCCCAAGACCGAGCCCAGTGGCAGCACGTCCCCCAACATCGTAGTCCTTATCTGAAGAGGGGACAGTGAAGTGTACCGATCACACTCTCCCTCACTCTAAGAACACCATGATGTTGGGCCAGGGCCACAGAACCAGACTACCGGGAACGGAGCTCCTCTGCCTGCCTAGAACTTTGTACCTAGCCAGGGAGCAGCAAATAATACTGCGCAGACACAGGAGATCTAAGGATTCCACCACCTCCCGGCTGTGCTGGCAGAAAGTCATGGGAGCCCCTCTTCCCTCCTACTCATCAGAGCAGGAGGGGGCACCAAGGCCAGGAGCAAAGGCAGCCCTCCGCAACAGGAGCCAACGGGGAAGGACTTCGGTGAGAAGTGAGGACAGACAATACCAGAGCACCAGTAGTAACCCCCACCCTGCTCCATTTGTAAGCCATGTCTGGACTAAACTTGGTTGGCCACTATGTCCCAACCCAATTCCCCCAGCCAGGCCTGTGAAGTCAGAGGCTCAGATCCAATCAGGAGCAGCAGGGCGAGGCACAGACAGTGGGACTCTGCTCTAACTTTCCAGGGCCTTCTCCAGCTTCCTCACACCCACTCTGGCTTTCTCCCCAGGCCATCCCAGAGTCCCCACCACTGCCAGCCGATCCCCAGGGCCAACAGGAAGCAGAGTCCAGACGCGAGGCTACCAGAACACTTTATTTTCTCTTCCAGAATACTGTACAAAGGGCATAAAAATCCTATTCACACTCCGCTTAGAAAGACCAGAAGGTGAAAGTTCCCTATGATACACGGGGTTGAGAATGAGGGTGAGGGGAAGAAAACAGGGTGCGTGACTTCCCTCCAGCCCCTGGCAGAGGGCTCAAGCACCCACATCTTTCCAAAGGAACATGCCCCAATCGAACCAGCGAGGGGAGAAGACAGCCCCTCTCAGCTTAGTGTCAGCCTCTGCGACCCACCTCTCTTTGGGCTGAGGAGACAGTGCCTGCAGCTGTCCCTACTAGTGCCCTGTTTGGGCAAGGACCCTACAAGCATTGTGGAGCCGGCCTACCAGCCCCTCACATGCATGCCACACAAGAGGCACTGCCCCGGCACAATCTAAATGGGAATACAAGCTGAAGGGCTGAAGAAGAGCTGCGTCCTGAAGCTTCCTCATACACTGCTAAGGAAAGCCTCAAATTGGACCTGTGCTTCTGAGGACTCACAGGCCTCTCTTTTCCAGCCTGTGCACACCCTCATACCAAGCCAGGGGCTCCAAACCGTTCCCCGTCACCATCATTCTGTGAGTAAATGAACAACCCTCCAAGCCAGCCTCCTTTCAGCCCACACCCAAAGGAGGCTGAGTCTGGCTTCTCCTCCCAGACCCTCTTTTTTACACTGATCCATATCAGCTGCTGTTCTCTTGACCATTCTAAGACCCCACCCTACCCCTGCTCAGAGCTCCCCTCTCCCCAGGACCAGGACAGCAGCATCCTGGCCCCCACTTCTACACCAGGTGTTCCCAAACCCCATCTTACAAGGACGTCAATGAAGTCTGACTGCTCTACCTGGAGGGCAGAGGCAGCGCAGCACAAAAGTGAGACAAAGCAGAAGCCAGCCGTACCGTCTCTCCGCCCCTTCACAGAGGTTAAAGTGCTATGGCTGCCTGACGGCAAACGAACCAACAGGGGTTTTTCCTGGCTTCCTGTACCAGTTTCTCAGGTCCACGGTCAGTCGGAAAGCCCAGCCCCTTTCATGACCACCCCCATGGCATCTCTATTCAAAAGGCAAAAGGAAAAGATCAAAAACTTCAGAACGGGTTAGAGCCCAAGGGCCCCACCCTAACCCCACTACAAGCTACTCCAAGCCGGCTACTGGGGAAGCGAGGGGGAGCCAGGCCCAGGGCACACCCCCATCTCTGGCAGTGTCCAGAGACTCCTGTCTTCAGTATCACAGCAAAGGTCTCCTACCCTTCCCCTGCCAACCCGGCTGGGGAAGGGGCTGCAACCTCAGTACTTATTGATTCCAAAAATCCGGACTCCATGGAGCTGGGGCAGCTTGGGGATGAGCACACTCATCAAGGAGACAGTGTTGAGTATGAAATGGACTTGGTCATACTTGGTGTAGAAGCTGGTGAGGAAGTACCTGGGGGGGAGGCGGGGGAGGGAGATGAACATAAGGGTCCCGGATAAGAAGTAGAGCGACAAGAATAACCAGCTAACAAAGCCCTCCTGACCTAGCCCCAGCTTACCCCAGGCCTAGGAGGGAAGTCAGAGCCAGGGAGACCCAAGGCCCACGGTGACCCAGGATACGTCACTTCCTTCCCTCTGCTCATCCCTACACCAAAGACCAGAGTTGAGGGGAGTCTGAGCCCAGCTGAGCCCAGTTTTGCCAAAGCACTCACAGTACAATCGGTGTGATGGTCAAGAACTTCCTAGAGGCTGTGAACTGGACTCCATAGTCCATCTGCTCCCAGTGGGTCAGCAACCTGGCTTTGCCCTGGTCTGGAGTCTCGAAGGGTGTCCCTTTCACCGTGTGCAGGAAGATGTACATGCCCTGAAAGGAGGGGCCTTCATCAGAAAATACAAAAGGCAAGTCGACTCCCAGCCTGACTTCCCCACCGGTCACACACGGAAGCAGCTCCAGGTAGACTGTCACCTCCTCTGCTGCAGTGGCAAAGGCAGGCAGACTCAATACATGACAGGGCACCCAGTAGCCCACATGGTGGGAGAACACGGGAACTGCGTAATGGGAGAAGTTAGCCATGGAATGGGCATACGTGCTGCCCTCCAGTCCAACTGGGTCTCTACGTGCCAGCCAAAAGGAGCAAGCCAAGGAGCGAGGATGAGACCCCTGCTTGCTGAAGTGTGGTACAAGGCAGCAGGTTTTCGGGAGCACAGAGAGTCAGAAGAACATGGTTTGGAATCCTATCGTGGGAAAGGAACACTTCTGCACTAGATTCCTAGGACCTGGGGAACCTCAACAAGGACTCAGCTCTCAGGAGGCCGTCCTCCACACACCAGTCAGCCCAGCCCTTCCTGAAGACACAGGCGATGTGTAGATTTCATTCTTGTAGGCATGCTACAGCCCACAAGGGGGAGCAAGGCAGAGATACGAGCTGGTCCTGGGCTCTGGTGACAGATGCTGACAGGACCTGCGGAGTCTGTCCAGTGACTCTCAGCTCAGGCACAGAATGGCCCACATGATGGGAGGAACGCAGCAAGCAGGCTCTCACCAAGTTGTGGATGAGGTTGGTGAGGGTCCAGACGACAGGGACGCTCACAAAGGGGATGCTCAGCAGCACGACGTGGAGGAGCCCGATGGCCAGCACGTACGACAGCCAGATGCCGCGGCTGTTCATCACCCGCGTGTTGGGGTTCACCTCACTGTGTGCCGTGCCCACATTCATCCTGCCACCCCTCTCGACTGTTGCTCTGCAAACAAGCAACACAGGTGAGACAGGTCACACCACTTTCCCTGCCCCCTCACACCCAGAGCCCCACAGAGGTTCCCTGAGAACACCACACCACCGTCCACTGTTTCAATTCTCCAGCTCAGAGGCTGGAGAAAGTCCACATGAATGTAACGCTAGTCATTACATCGCTGGGATGGGATTA